CTGAATATCCCTGTAGGCTGTCGCCGCTGGGCACGTCTACCTCAGCGGGCTGTTGCTGGGCCCTTCTACCTCCGCGGGCCGCCGCTGCAGGCATACCTGCGTCTGCTTGTCTCTGCCGCCGGGCCTGTCTCTCTTTTTTTTTTTTCTTATACTAAGGATTAAATATAGTGCCTTGTTCAGACTAGGCTCATTTACCAATTCTGTGTGCCTTTGATTTGCCTGAAATTATCCTTAATAAAAATCAAGGAAAGCCGGGCGATGGTGGCACATGCCTTTAATCCCAGCACTTGGGAGACAGAGGCAGGCAGGTCTCTGTGAGTTTGAGGCCAGCCTGGGCTACAGAGTGAGTTCCAGGAAAATCACAAAACTACACAGAGAAACCCTGTCTCAAAAAAACAAAAACAAAAAAAAGGAAAAAAATGGACCCGAGATGTAGCTCAGTGGTAGAGTGCTTTGCCTAGCATGAGCAATGACCTGAATTTGATCCTTACAAACACACACCTAACACACACACACACACACACACACACACACACACACACACACACACACACTGCACAAATGACTTGAATAGGCAGTTTACAAGAGAGAATTTCCAAATGGCTAATAAACCTGAGACACTGCTCAGTGTTTAGTTATGGGGGTTGCACACGAAATCACAATGCGAATCCAACCACTCACTGGAATCACTAAAATAAGAGGTGGATGTGCCAAGTCTGGGCAAGATGGCAGGACTGTGGGGGAGCCAGTCACTCATGATCTGCTCACATTATCAAAAACTCAGAAGAGGCTGACCTACTAACGTTAAACACGTGCACCACGAACTCAAACAATTCTTCTCCTCCTGGAAATAAAAATCCCACAGCAAAGTGTCACTTGATTTTGTCTCGTCATATGATTATAAATCTTTCTTTATAAAACAAACTCACTCTGCCGTCTGCCTCCCATCCTGTGATGGACAATACCTACAGCACCCTTACCACATTCTTTTTCCCAAAGTTATGTCATCTGAATGTCTCACTTCAGCTCGAGCTCCTAGACAGCACTTTCTCAGTTATCTAGAATATTCTGCCTCAGTGTCTATTTGATAATAGATCCTAAAGCTACCGTTAATACTACTTCCTTTTCTTCTTCTCCTCTTCCTTCTTCTTTTCCTCCTATTCCTTCTTCTCCTCCTATTCCTTCTCTTCCTCCTCCTCCTCCTTCTTTCTTCTTCCTCCTCTTCTTGGTTTTTTGAGACAGATTCTCCCTGTGTAGTCCTGGCTGTCCTGGAACACACTGTGTAGACCAGGCTGACCTTGAATTCAGAGAGATACTCCTGTACCATGCCCATCCTAAGGCTTCTTGAAGTGAATTAAGAGAAAGACAAGCTGGGCAGTGGTGGCTCATGCCCTTAATCCCAGCACTCTGTAGACCAGCCTGGCTTCGAACTCACAAGAGATCTGCCTGCCTCTGCCTCCCAAGTGCTGAGATGCGTGTGCCACCACTGCCCAGCTATTCTTGGATCTTGGTCAAAAGACTTGATGTTTCTTCCCATTAGAAATGCCTGGGAGCACAGGGAAGTGTTGTACAATGTCAGATGAAGGACAGTACTGTCTTCATTTCACCTTGAGCTGCATTGGCTGCTGTTGTTTTCCACAGTGAAGCAGGGACCTTTGCAGCTTCGCGAAAAACAAACAAAACATTCAAGAGAGAGAGAGAGAGAGAGAGAGAGAGAGAGAGAGAGAGAGAGAGGACGCACAGCGAACTCTGTGCTCAGCGGCTGCCACACTGTCAGGAGGATGTATTTCCCTTTTCCCACTTCACCGAAGTGTTTTGGGTTCTACAGACTGGCCTGCAAAACTTTCCAGGTCCTTGACCCCTGCCAGGTTTATGTGATGGCCTCCCGCTTCTTAAAGAAATGGTTTATCTTAGGCGTATAACTGTTTGCCGTACCACTTGCATGCCTGGTGCCTAGAAGTCCAGAGGAGGACAACCGTCTGGAGGGACGGGTGGTGCTGGGCTACCTGATGTGGGTGCCGCGAACAGAACTCGGTCCTCGGTTGGGCCATCTCTCCAGGCGCCCCGCCACTGCCCCCTTGAGATAGGGGAACACTCTTAGGGGAGGCCAGTTTGGAACTCACAGTGCAGCTCGGGCTGACCTCCAAACTGCAGCGATCCTTCTGCCTCAGTCTCCTCAGTGCTGCGAGTGCACTTCCAGCTTGGTTGTCTTGCCCTTTCAGTCATCCGAAGGATAGCCTACGCCGAGGCAGCTCGAGCCTGGGGCTCATGGGCTCCACTTACGGGGTCGTAACCTCTAGGGCCTACGCCTATCTGCTTGGGGAAAAGGTGCTGCGTGTTCACCTCCAAGGACTTGCCTTTGCCTCAGACAGTCGAGTGTCTGCACGCAGAACCTGCTTCCCACCTCTGTCTCCCCTGGAGACGCCCCCAAGTCCCTAGGACAGAGGCCGACCCGTCTCCATCCATCGCCACAGCCCCGACAAGGCCCGCCGCGATCCTATCCTGTGCGCATGCTCACACCCGAGTCTCCGATTGGTCGCCTAGAAGCCTGGGATATTTTCCCAGGATGCTCTGCGCTGCTGTCATGGCTGCCCCCGTGTGCCTGTATCCTCACATGGGACGCTAGTCCTGTGGGTGTCTTGACGGTGCCGGTGGCCACCAGACGCCGGCGACCTTGGCCCCTTCTTCTCCTTCTGCTTCCTCCTCCCCCGAGGGGCCCTCGCGGGACCCTGAATTGGGTCCAGTGATGCCGGGGGTGACGTGGACTCCGGAGCGGGCGCTGCTGAGGGGCTTCTCCACGGAGGCGGAGCGGCGGCTGTGCACGCAGGAGGGGCGCTGTGGC